TAAAAATCATGAAACTTTAATTTATAAAAAATTTTAATTTTAATATTAAATACATTAAAATCAAAATTTTTTTTTAAATCTATGAAAATTAATACATGATAAATATTTTGAGACAAAGGGAGTAATTAGTTTAACATGACTAGTACCAAAAAAATTAATTGAACATAATTAACATACAAATGGGGGCAGTTTGGTAATGGTGGCCAAACTTTGTTGTTTCCTCTTTCTCAATTGTCCCATAATTTCCATCTAATGTTTATTAACTAACTTGCAGACAATTATTAATTTAAAATCATTTGCTTTATGTTTAATTTCTTTCATTGAAATTTTGTGGTGCTGCTTTTGCTATATTTCTGGCTCACAATATAACCACACACCCAAACATTTAACGCCAATATATATATATATATATATATATATATGATTAAGATAATATTTTCTAAAAACGGGGATTATATGATCTAAAGATATAGAGATAATTGAAGATCATTAAAACAATAAGATCTAATTAACAAAATTTGAATATCACAATAAGTTAAATATATAGTAGATTCTATAAAATAATAAACAAGAAAGAATGATAACAAATACATTCCATCTTAAATTAAATGTTTATGTTTAACTTGGTATGAAGAATAATAAAGAAAATGCTTTAACTTTAGGTTTTTTTTAAGTTAAATTTTTTTTTTAATAATATTGGCTTTCTTAGTTTTTTATTGCCAATGGGTGTTGGTTTCTCTTAAATTAACTATATTGAAACTTTTAGAAGACAAATTGAAACAGAAGGCTGATTCAATTTGCTCAATTTCTTTGAAATTTGATTAGAGGAGTAAATCAAAATTGCAAATTTTGGTAATTTTTTTCCAACAAAGATAGTTGGAATTATTTCATTTGTTTGGCACTTTTTTTTCTATTTTTTAAGTAATAAAAGTATAATAAAAAAGCAAATAAAAATTTTAAATAATTGTACACACGATATAAATTTTGTTTAAATGAAAAAAAAAAAAACATAATTCTACGTCTATATAAACTATTTATGTTATAATAGGTGTTACATTTTAATTATTTGTCAATTTGAAATCATTTATGGTATTGTTTTTGGCTTTAGGGTTTATTTTTGCTCCATTGCAAATTTGAAAATGAAAATAGCCAAAGATAAGTAGAAAAAGAATTTACCAAATAGAGCCTAAAATGTTCTTAATTTTAAGTAGAATGTGATGTTTTAAATATTATAATCTTTAGGGATAAACGTGAATTTTGTCGATTTACGATATTCGATGATAAAATGATAAGTTTAATTAATTTATGTAATTATTTTTAAAATTAATATGAAATAAATTTAAAATTTTAATTTCAACATCTATAAATTTTTTTATTTTTAGATTAAAATATAGTATACAAAGAAGCCACTGTCTTTGCTTTTGGACCTCCATGATAGAATATAGGGACCAAAACTATAATTATAGTGTCTGAGTGGAAAGTTGAAAAGGAAAGGGCAACAAAGAAACATCCAACAATTTTGTTTTTTTTTCAATTGCCAAAACTAATGGGGGAATTGGTGGCAGTTGTGTGGATAGCCCACTCTTTCTCTTCCTTTCCCACGACATAATGCTCTCGCATTCAGCAATCCATTCGAAAGAGGAACATCCTTTGGGTTTCAATAGTCAGATAATTTTGCTAAAGACAGCACAAAAAACCACATTTAGATAATATAATAGGCGCTTTGGTCATTTTGCCACCTCCGAATCAATTGAAAGTCAATTTTGATGGAGTTTTTCATTTTTGGACGTAGCAGAAGTGGGAGAGAGTGTTATTTTAGAAAGATTTTTTTTATTAAAGATGTTCACTTATTAATATAGTGAATGTCTGCTAAGTATTGGGTGCTGGTCGAATGTGGATTATGATTGGATATTACGTAGTGAAATTGAATGAAGTGATTAAGAAATTAAAAAATATACATGTTCCAAGAAAATTTTGAAATGTCCAAAAAATATATTTATGGATGTTTAAGGAAATCCATTTTTAATTTTTTTATTTTTTAAATTTTGTGGTGATCATAAATTCTTTATCTTTATATTTGCATTCTCTATTAATTTTTTTTGTTACATCAAGAAGATAAAATCTTAATATAAATAAAAAGAAAAAGAGAGAAATTTAACTCAAAATTAAATTTTTGATTTTTTTTAAACACCTTTAATCACTAAATTAAAAACTCTAAAATAAAATATGTGATTTATGACTTTTCACATACTCCATTGGAAAATATGGTGAAAGTTTATGTTTTATAATTGAAACTTTAAGAATTCAATTGTAAAACGCAAGTTCCAACGCAATGAGAAGACACTCCTATCACACTTCTAAATGGAGCCTCAATAAAATATTTGTACTCAACATTAATTCAACATATGTGTACGAAAGATTTGATTCTCGAAATATGAAAAAAAAAAAAAAAAAAAACACTTGCTCGTAGTGAACGTGTTGAACATGTATCTGTATCCGATGCTAAATCTCTTGGGATCCATTTGAATTTTATCGAACCATCAGTACATTTGAGTCATTTTTTATTTTAATTTTATTGCCAATAAGTGTTTGGGTGTCATAGAAATAGTGCGATTGGGTCATTTGGGCCACACCGAAAGAGCTAAATTCTACTAAAGGAAGAGGGGTCCAGTGGATTACCGGACTCTAAATAGAACAATTTTTTCCTTTTAATTTATTTTTTAAAATGCTCCTAATTTTAAATTTTTAACAATTTCAACATTTTTAAACTTTAATATATTTTTTAATCTAAAAAATATTTCATTATTTATTAAAAAAATCAAGATTTTAAATGTTAAATAACGTTAATATTTATAAATTAATTCTCAAATGTTTAATAATAAAATATTATTTGATATAAATATAATTTTACTAATTTTTAACTTATTAACAAAAATATTATTAATATAAAATAATTTATTATTTATTAATTTAAAAAATATCAAATATTTATTATAAATTTGTTTATATTTAAATTTTAATATAATATTTTTAACGGTTATTTTTTTCGCTGCACTTTATATCAGCGTTAGTATTACATTTATATCCAAATATATATTATACTACTGATTTTAATTTTATCACTATAATAATTAATATTACTTTCATTATTATTTTTAATTTTATTAAAATCAATCTCACCTTTTATCCAAATAAATTTTTAATCAAAGCAACGTATGACACACTGGGAGGCAAATGATCGGAGCGGCTGGTATTAAAATAGAGTCTGATTGTTGAGTCCTGTGTTATGGAAGCAAATGTCAGCAATCAAAAGCTTTAGAGTGGGACGACAAATGGGGTGCACCAAAGTCATACTTTTAGGAAATGCTTTCGTAGTGACAAAGAAAGTGGGCTTCTTTTTGTCCCACCTGTTCTTGTTTTGGATGTTTCTTAGTTCCATGTTTGATGAAAAGTAGAAATGCTGATTGAGAATTGAGATGGTTGGACATTCTTTCTCAATCACTTAAGAAGAAGAAAATTGAATTGGCTTCTTCCGCTAAGTTACAGTGGAAGAAGTGCTTGAAAAAAAACATGAAATGAAAAAGAAGTCAGGCAGATTAAAATATAGAACTTATGGATGACATCAATCACAATTAAATAAAAGCCATTGAAAATTTTCAATAATACATCGGTTAGACCTTTAACTAAAGTTTTTACGAAAGCAATAATTTATCAAAATCATTCTATATCTACGTATGTATATAGATGTCCACCAGACAAGCTACCCGATTAGGCTTGCATACTTGGACTAGGCTTGGACATATATTTTTGTTTGAGCCTGACGTGATTAAAATATTTTATTATTATATAAATTATAGTTCATTTAATTTTAATTTTAAAATATATTTAGAAGTTTAACTAAAAAATTTTGTTACCAGTGGGCTGAGCCCCATTTTACAAGAAAGTATTATAAATCCGACTCTATACTTAATCAATGGACACTCTTTCTTTTTAATTACCATAAAGGATTTCTTGAGTTTCAACTAATGCATTTTTTAAAAATTTAATATAAATAAATTTATTTATTTATGTTAAATTTAATAAATTTATAAAAAAAATTATATTCTCACAGCCTGATTTATCTACCTGATCAATGGACACCTTTTGCATGTATGAGTACGTGTATCCCTCTTCTCTTTATTTATTTTTTTAATGTTACTAAAATACGATACATACTGCAAATCTATAATATGATTTGAATTAATGTAAATTCATTATTCCCTATTAACAAGTTATGGGACCAGAAAAAAGAAATAGTTCACCTAGCGGTGTATATGGGATTGGGCCAGTTCGAATCTAGGCTTGGCTTTTGAAAGTTTTCTATTGAGTCCACCTAGGCCCACACGCTTGTTCGAGCAGCTCCGCCTAACTTCTCTTATAGATAAATTAATAAACTACTTTAGCTGTGGGGCTGAGCTGTTTATCGAGTTTTCAAGCTTGGTTCAATACAAGTTAGATTTTAGATGAAATTTTAAAAACTTGGGCTTGATTTGATTCAAGATATTATGATGTTAGTAAATAATTTTTTATTTAATTTTATTATAACATTTATTTAAACTTTTTAAATATTAATATTAATTTCTTCATATTTAAATATTAGATATAATTTAAATGGGCAGGCCGAGCCTTAGCTTTGATTTTGGAGATACCAACTGAATCCAATAGACTCAATGACACCTTTAATTGTTGCTTTCTCTAAAATTTATTTAGACTTTATAAACGGAATTTTTTTATATTGTTTTATTATTAATTTTTATTAGAAAATATTCAATAAAATACGGTGAAAAAGTTGAATACAATTAAAATGTAGTTGCAATATTCAACTTTGAATAATCCTATAAAGATAAATTTGATATTTATGTCAGAGAGCTTGAGATCATATGCATACCTCCAATTTGACAAAGAGCTGGAATTTAAGCTAACCCTGAATCAAGTATGGAACTTAACAGAGATGGCTTTCACAACCCAGAGCTCTTAGGGAACATCCTTACACGACTATACAACTGCCTCCTGAGCCTCCACGAAGTTGTTGTAATTGATTACGGATCTCTTCTTGTTTATCTAAATCTTTTGATAGTTCTAGTGTGCAACCAACAGATAACCTCTCCAAAACAGGTGCATTCCCAAACAAATATTTTAAGAAACACAACCCCGCTGCAACCCCACCAGCATTAAAGATGAGAACAGATTTGAGGCAAGACCAAAAACAAGCAGGTACAATGTCGATTATCATGCCTTTGTCCTCTGGTTTGAATCCCTAAATGTGTATAATAAAACCATTTAACGTCAAAGCTAACAAATCTTACAGTAAATAGATTCCACTTGCTTATGAATGTGAAAATGCAGCAATAAGAAACATAATAACAAAATATCCAGTCCCCACATACGTTCTCTCAAAAGGACTAGAGATTTATGATTTTTGAAGCAAATACATCAATGCACCACTAGCGTGATTATCATCAATATAAGGACCACTCACAGATGCATTCAACATACTCAAATTATTAAATGTAGGAAGATGTCCTTGATTACTTTCTGCAAAGAGGAGAGACTGCACAGAGAAAAAGACTAAAAATGAAGTTATTTGTAGTCTGGAGTTATATTTATAGAGTCTGCACAAAATGAATATAAAAATTAGAAATAACAAAGGTTCTTCTAGTTCCAATTGTGTCCAATAAAGGAAGTAACATTACCTCAAGGGCTTCATTTGACAGTTTAAGAGATTTAACCTTGTTAAGTCCACAAAGTAGTTTTCCTAGGCACTGACCGCATTCTTGCTTCCCATCAATCCAGTTATGGACATTGATAGATGCTTCATTCAGGGATACCAGGTTATATGGTAAAAGTTCAACCTTCAGAGAAGTGCAAACATCAAGAGTCTTGAGATTCATAGCAGAAATTATGATCTTGCAATTAAGGAAATTATCTTCCAAGAAAACCTTTTCGGAAATTGTCAATGACCTTAATGTGGGAATTTCAATAGTGATTTCCTTTATATTTTCCCAATCACAATTATACAAAGTCAAGTCCTGGAGGACCGGAAAACCAGAAAATAGTTGTTGGACAGACTAATCATCCTCAAACATAACACCACAAAGATTTAAGTCCCTTAAGGCTGGAGAAGCAGATGAAACTTGGAAGCTTCAGAGTACAATGCATTTTCAACCAAAAACTGCTCAGTGATATGGACGTAAATAGAACTATCAGGCAACACAAACTCTATTTCCCTAGGTAAGCGAAGATTCAGCTGTTGAACATTATGCTTTACTGCAGCAGACAGCCATGAGTGAAGACAGGATGCACCTACAGGTTTATCTAACCAACGACGCAATTTCCCCATGCATGGTCCATTTCGAACAAGGGGTTCTCTCTAATGAAACAAAGAAACTAGCCCCAACTACTAGAATCTGATCATAACTCATGGGCCTTTACCAGACTGTTGGGTCACAATAACAGAAGTTGCGAACCAAAATCCAAAGGAATTTCTATCTTTTTGATAATATAGAAGTTTTTATAGCTTCTTCTGTTGAAAGGAATGATAGAATGTGAACAAGAATATCGTCGGGCAATATGCTGATTACATCTTTGTCCTGCATTTGCATCCTATCTTTCAAAGATGTTTTGCATTTTGGAACTAGGTGGTGAAGCACTTGCATCCATGTTCAGAAATATCCCTGGTAGGCAACATTTATCACACTCAGTAAAGGCCAGAAATGAAGGTAAATAAATTTAGCATAACAATGAAATTGTTTAAGCTCCCTACAAGAACTCCCCTGCAAGCAAAATCTAAGAAAATAATATTACATAAAAATTAAAGATACTAGATAACCAGGTGTGATGTCTTAATTTCAACAATCTACAATCCCCATACCATGGAAAATAGAAGTTGAATTGCATACATTAAGTGCTGACTCAGGATATGCATAAATGAATTGCATACATTAAGTGCTGACTCAGGATATGTATAAATCAATTTCATTAGGATTGCTACAATAGGTGATAATATCACTAATCAATCAATTTTTTTTTAGTAAATTCCCAAATTAAGAACTCTAAGACATATTGATATATAGCAGCAATTATATTCCAGCTTTTGAAATCTCAAAAATATTCATACCATACTAAGTTTCGTATACAATAGAAGTGCAGTTAAAGCCATTAACTTTTGAAATCTCAATACAAAATTCACTAAATTTAGGTTACATTAACGAAAGAGAGCAAAGGTGACTTAAAATAAGATAAATTTCATCACAGAACAACTGTCAAATAAATATTATCAAAGAAACAAAGCCTCCACCACCACCACCACCACCACCACCACCAAAAGAAAACGCAGAGAAAGTTATCAAACATAAAATCCTAGAAAGGAAAGGGTTCCAGATTATAGTAAGTTCATTAAAAGGGATGCCCAGCGGGGAAATGCACTAAGAAAATACAAAATACCCATCAAAATTGCAAGGGAAAAACACCCATGAAATGGGATAAAATTCTCAGCTGTAAAAGTGTAAAATGGAGCAATCTCCACCCATTAAAAAGCATATGTAGATCCACTCAACAAAAAGGAAAAGCTATAGAACTGAGTACTTAAAGAATAAAAATACCCAGAGGAAGAAGAAGGAGAAATTTTGATACCTGAGAGGTGCAGATTATTATAGAATTGAAAGATTCCTTAAAGCTGCTCTAGGATTGACAGCCATATAACTTGAGATATCATATTTGAGTGTGGAATTTGGGTTCAAGTCAGGCATGGCAAAACCTATCCAACGGATTTTGCCGGACTTGGATTTGATAGGATGGGTTTTTTTGAGTCGGAAGTCGGTTGAGACAGGTTGAATTTTATTTTTTTTTTAAGATTTGTATTGGAATATATATATATATATATATATATATATATATATAAAATTTAATTTTATATTTATGTATTAATAAAATTATTATTTAATATTTTAATTTAAAATATTATTTTAATATAAAATATTATATTTATATATAATTAAATATAATTTATATTAAAAATAATTTTTTTATAATATACAATATTATAAAAATTATTAAAATCGAATGCAAATTATTTAAATATATATCAAATTAAAATCGAATATAAAAAATAATAATTCAATATTAAATTGACTTAGAAGCAAGTGTTGTTTTTCAAGAACCGGATTGGAGTGGAAGTGGACGAAAGCTCATCCTAATTGACCAGTTAAAATCACTAGGTTTTCAACTTTCAACTCCCTTATATTACTTTTTGCATTATTTTATAATATATTTTAATTATTATTTATATGTATAACTTTCATGATTTATGAGTGCACCATACTTCTGCGAATGGTGGTAATGAATGTAATAAAATTAATAAAAAAATAATAAAGGAGAGTCTAATCCCATTTTGCAAGTTTGGATTGCTAAGATTTGATCATTTTAATTTTTTATCATTTTAAACTTGAATTGTCTGATATTTCGATTATTTTGAGTTCAATCAATTTTAAATTAGATTCATTTTGCATTGGATAGGATTTTTAGTTATTTTGATATTTATATAAATGATAAATAATTTAGTAAATTAAAGTGTAATAAAATTTTTTTATTTTTGCGATGTTAAGTCAATATCATTTGTTAATTTAGTGAATTTAAGATAACAATATAATAGAAAATTTTGAAAATGTATACAAATATAAGTTATACAATAAAATTGTCTATACTCTGACTATCAGTACTTTGTTGTACTTTTTATTGTTATCTTTTTTGTTGTCGTAATTTTTTTAATAACATTTCAATTTGTCCAAAAAAATTCTTATATATATATATATATATATTTTAGTTCAAACATAAATTATTAACATTAACATGAAATATAAAAATATATAGAGTTAATATGGTATTTAAAAATTAAAAATCTTTAATGTGATAAATTAATTATAAATTTATTAAGTGGTATACTCTTAATATAATTAATTTCAAATGATAATATTTGTCGAATAAATAATTTTTAAATATAATTTTAATAATAGATTTATAATTTAAATATTAAATTAAAATTTTTTAAATTTTATATATTACATTAAATATTTAATTTAATTTAAAATTTATTTATGACATTAATCCAAATATATTTCATTATCAAATTGGTGCGTTGATTGTCAACTTATACTAATTTAATAAGAACTTATGAATAGTATAAAATTTTTCGGTTTACCTGGCCAAAATACAAAATCATGATATTCAAAATTAATTCATATAATATTATTATAATTTGAACATTTGCGCATTTTGGCATTTTGACATTAATGAACAATAACGATTGACTTGAAGAATAACTTAATAAATCTATTTGATTAGGAATTAGTTTGCTTAACATTGATTAAAGTAAAAATATCAATTTTACCTATGTTCAATGAAAAATTTAATTTTTTTATTCAAATGAGAATGTGAATAAGTATTATATTATAGGTATATAGATAGAAATGTGTATAATTTTAAATTTTTATTAAATATAACGATAGAGACGGGCAATATGTAAAAGTTTAAAAAAAAAAACGGAGTTACTTTTGTTGCATCGGCAGCTATCAATGGTGCACCGTCCCTACGTATCACAAATTATCCATACACTGTCAATTTTCAACGATGACTTCTTTTTTGTTTTTTGATTGGTGAAAAGAAATTTGTTGATAATAAGCCAAAAGGCCAGAAAGCTACCAAAAACTAGCAAAGCAAATAGTAAAAGCTCAATTACCAATACACAAATCCAAGTTAACCATTCAATAAGGAGTTCCCAGCATCTAAACTACAACAGCAATAGAAAAACCAGCTTTTCAGATCATATTCAATTCCAACATAGTTCTTAAGGTATCACTTCAGAAAAGATTCAAAGCACAATAAAATTATCAATTCACGCCTTTCAAATCATTCTCATATTCAGAAATACAAAATAATCCATACAAAGACCCAATTTCATATAAAAATAGACAATCATATTTTGCTTATTTCAAGAATATACACACACACACACACTTTAAAAATAACAGGAGATTTGGTAAGTTACTTAGTTGGCAAGCTGAGTTAATAAGTCCAAAATCTATTCAAAATATTCTCAAGAACCTAATAATCCAAATAATCCATAAATTAAACTTATCCAATATCATTGAATATATTAGAATCATCAATTCTCTTTTGTACAAAGAATTTCCAAAATTAATGCATAGTAGTCTAACAAACGTGTTCTGGCAACCTGCACTCCTTTTACTAAAATGATTATAGCTCAAGGTATACAACTCCAAATTATGATCCGTTTAATGAGCTTTCCATACATATCAAGATCAAGTCATAATCCATTATACTTAAAATGCAGTAAAATTTTGAAATTTCCCCTAGTGCTATTGTTAGGTAGACTGAACAATGTCTACTAAAAATTCACTATCTTCACTTAGAAAACTCGGATTTTTACTCTGTTTACATTAAAAACTAGATTCAATAAGATTTTCAACCATATAAGAGTCAACTCCTTGTAAATTTATTCCAGAAATTCTCGTATTTGAAGTTTGCAGCTGCTGTCTGACAGCATGCATACCCTTTAGAAGAAATAGGATATCTTCCTTTAGAAAACTTAAAATCCAATTCCGTTTATTTAATTAGACTCAATAATCTTTTCAACTATATGGCTCAACTTGTAACTCTTTGTAGATTAATTACAGCAATTTTCATAATATACCATTGCTGCTGCTTCTAGACAGCATGTATAGTCTTTACTAAACATGATCTATTTAAACTTAGGAAATTTCAAATCCAATTTCGTTTGTTTCATTAGAAAATAGACTTGACTAGCTTTCTATCCTATAAAATTTCAAATATTGACATATAGCCTATTTATTACAGAATTAATTTCCAAGTTGCAGGTGTTCAACACTTGATCTTTACTTCACAGATTTCTTGTTAGTCTTTACAACTTAATTATTTCCATTCCAGCCTTTACACCCATCACATAATCATGCTTTAAATCTTACAGAATGATGATATAAACATATTTAAAATTACCCAACCTTATGAAAATTATTATTGGTATAGCAAAATCCAATCACCATGTAAGTTTAACATGAAGAAAAGAATTTTTCTCACCTTGAAAAGATCAGTCGCCAAATCTTTTCTGGCCTTGAGAGGAAAAGAACAAACCTCATAGAAGCTACATACTACATACTAAGACCAAATGCACCAACAGAATGATAGCAAAGGAACAAAGATCAATTTGTGTATGATATCAAAAGAACAGAATGATACCAACAGAATGAGAAAAAAGACCAATTAACATTTGTTTATCTCATTGAAACATTTTCACTTGGGTTTATAGCACCAAAGTCTGTTCAATTTGTCTAAAGTCAGCTTCCACATGCTCAATATCTACCCATATGTTCAATGCTAGCCTCCTTACATTCAAGTTTAGCAAGCTGAAGTCAAGACCAGCAAAAAAAAAAAAAAAAATCCTATGCCAGCCTCATTGTTTTCCAAGAAAATCCTCAAATGTCCAAGTTCTACCAAAGACTTTCAAATACCTCCCACACAATTTCAAGCCAGCCATGATATTTTCCAATACTCTAATTTAGTTACCTTGGATATTTAAAGCACAATTAAACTTTCAAAGTCTAAAATTTGTTGGGATTAGCTAAAATTAGAGCCCATATGATGTAAATCTTAGAACTATAGCCTCCATGAAAATTAATTTCTCACAATAGAATAGAGAATTCGTATGGGGTATTACAATTATAGAACCCTAGTAATATATATAATAGAGGATATATCTTATAGTGTAATTGGTAGAAAAATTGAAAGGTAATCCATGTAAGCAATACAGATGAACCACACTGTAAAACGGCAACCATTCAAGCACAGATGTACCACAGCCTGTTCCCAGGTTGTAAGCAATAGAACCTAGAAGAACAAATGAGATTAAAACAACCCATGAATTTTCCAAAAGAAACTACCAGCAACCTTCATATATTTAAAAACATGAATGCAAGTCCATTGAGATGCAAATGGTAATTCAACAAAAAATTTAAAACACATTCAAATATTAAGGACCTAAACCCACAACAAAAATTTAAAACAGATAAAAGCAAAAATCGAAAACCATAACCTAATTAAGAGAGAAGCCAAATTATGGAGCAGCCAAAGGGTTGCCACGCCTGCAATACAAAAATGAGGGACGCCGGTGGTTCACCGAAAAACATGTGAGGAAGGAGAGCCGGTTCGGGGAAAAGAAGGGACGGTTGGCGGTTTTTCGGTTAGTTCAAGGTCGGATTCGGTCCAGAATGGGCTTGGAGAGCTATCGGCGGTCAGAGGTGATTGGGTCGAGGAGAGGAGAGAGAAGAAAAAAGAGAAGGGAGGGAGAAGAGAGAAAGGAGAGGGAAAATTGAATTTTGAAAATTAATATTTATAATTAGCAAATTTTTCATCGCTAATAATTCCGTCTCTAATTCATAATTTTTCTTAACTTTTGATGAATATTTTCGTCGCTAGTTCCGTATAAATACCATAAATTGCAATGAAATTTATCGCTAAAATTGGTAGACACCATTTTTAACACGACAAATTACTGATGAAATTAACAATTGGATCTAATTACATCGGTATGTTTAGGTTTTTATTGACAGAATTTCATCACTAATTCTGTTGCTATAGCTAAACAACATTTTCATCGAAATTAGTCAATAATTTGTCGTTAAAAAAAACTTTTAGTGGTGAAGATTTTTGTCGCTAATTTTTGTTACTAAAAATAAATAACTTTAGTGACGAAAATTTCCGTTACTGTAATAGGCTGTTTTCTTGTTTTGGTTTTCCTTTTATATTTATCGAACTCC